GGCTCGCGGTGGGGCGCGGAAGAGTTAACGCTCACCTGCGGCTGCCCTTTGACTTCCGCCTCCCAGCGGAGCGCGTGGCCGGCCGGGACGTCTGGATGGGGCCCTCCGCTGCGCCGTTGCCCCTTTAAACGCTGGACCCAGGCGCACGCGCAGTAGGGCGTTCGGGCGCGCAGGCGCAGTGGGGCGGTGGATGTTTACGGCGGCGGAGGTCGGGGCTGCGTAGTGGGAGGCGGACTGGCGAGGGGCGCCAGAAGAGCTGCAGGTGCGGCCCAGCGGCCGATTCCGCGGGCCCGCCGAGCCAGGAGGTACTGAGCCGCCGCCGCCGCCGCCGCCGCCCTCGGCCCGGCCTGCAGCGGGGTATGGGGGGCGGTGCGGCCCCTCGGCCCCCTCCCCCTCTCTCCCTCCTCTCCACCCCTCCCCTTCCCGTGGTCCCGGGCTCCCGGACCCTCCCCCAGGGCCGCCCTCTCTTCTCCCCGTCTTCCTGTCCTCTTCCGCTGTCCTCTCGTTCCCCACCCCCAAGCATAAACACCCCTCCGCGTCCCAGGCGTCTCCCGTCGCCCCTCCCCCCTCCCCGGGGGTCCGCCCTCCAGCGTTCCGGGGGTTCCCGAGGTCTCTCCAGGTGCGCATTGCTTACACCCCTTGGGTTGACTTAACTCTCCAGACGCGTAGCTCGTCCCTGACTTACTAAGTAGGAAACATTTGCAGTTAGCACGGCAAGTGGAGAGTTACCAAGGTTTGAAACAGGTTGTACCTTTTCCGAAGGTGACAGAGTCTGTTAAGGAAGTATTGGCCCTTCAAGCCTTGGGGACTTAGCTTCAGGCAAGACCTGAAAGACGCCTTCCGTTGGGAAAGGAGAGCTCGCCGGGCTTTGGTTCGTGTGTTTTGTTTGTGTTTGCGAGGGCCTGTGTCTCCCGAGTTGATGTTTGCACATCAGAGAAGTCCTTTATTTCCCCCCTTTGCTCAATGTGCTTGTCAACGTTTTCTTCGTTCTTTTTGACCAAGGAGGGGCTGAAGTAAACAACTGCATTCTCAGTGTTGGGTAGACCGGCAGGTCCCTGTATAAACAAGTCCGAACTTGTGGCTCTGCTGGGGGGAAATAGAGCCATACGCTAGGGTGGGAGGGGCCCTTGGAGATGGTGGGTTTCGGCCCCTGAGACCAGCGCCTGGGCCCCCTCCCTGCTTGTACTTGGCGCGGGACATCCCTGGCGGGGAGAGACTCCTCGTTCTGACAACGTGTCAATGTTTTCAGTTCCAGTTTTAGAAAGCATTTTTTTGTGTGTTTAGTAGAAATTATCTCCATCCAACACGTGTTCCACTGGCCTGGCTTTTATCAGGCTCATTCATGTATAGTGTGTATATGGTAGCCTTTCGAGTACTTGGGGGAAAAAAATCCCTCTGCATTCCTTGTAAGAGTTTTGGTTTTCAAAATGAAAGAAGTCTCCATTTCTTCCATTATTCCTGCGGCAGGAGGTGTGGTTTTGGTTCCTTCTCCCCAGCTCATCTTCCAGCTGAATTACTTTGTCCATGTTGCCCTTAATAAGTAGCCTGATAAACCCAGCGTCGACTTGAATCTTGGCCCCGGGTATCAGAGCTGCATGCTCCGTTAGCCTGGCCACTGTCACAGCCTCCTCGATTGTCCACCTGAGACCTTCCGATGCCTGGTCCTGCTCCAGATGGCTGAGCGCTGTCTCCTCCCTGTGCCCTTACGGCTGGTTTTGGAAGAAGCAGCATTAGAGTAAGGCTTTCTTGTTGGGTGGTGCCCGGTTACTGCGGAGCGGTGAATTCAGGGTTGCAAAGTATAGTCGAGTGCAGCATCCGAAAAATGACTTGCCATTACTTTGAAAAATTGAATTTGAGTGGCTTGTAGGTCCAGATTTGGTTTGGCAAGGACATCTCTTAACCTGTTGCTGGTGTTTTTGGTGGCGTTAGGACTGATCACATTCGTGGTCAGTAATAAGCAGTGATTGTTTCCAGTGTGAGGGAGTGTTAGATTGCCAGGGAAAGTTAATAGTAAATATCAGATCCTACAGGTTATCACGTGCAGCCTACCAGTGGCAGCAGATAGGGTTACCACGTAGTTATTTCGTCTGTCATTTTGGGTAGAGATTACCAGTGTGTTCATTGGTAAAGAATTTTGCTCCCTTGAGGATTTTTTAAAGCTGTATTTGGTGTGGGGTAAAGAACATAGGCCCGGGGTTGAATGGCAGCCCTGTCCTTTCGCACTGGTGTGTGACCACGAGAATAACTTCTCAGTCCCAATATGCCTAATAATGTCGTAAAGCCAAAATGAGGTCGTGACGGGCAGGTGGTGCCTATAAAAAGGTTGTAGTTAGTTGCTAGTTTTACTAAAAACCTAGCCTTTGCACGTGGAATAAACTTTCAAAGTGAGGCAAAGTTGAAAATAAGGGATAAATACTTAGTAGACAATGAAACATACCCAACATATACTCCATGTTTGCTTTCTGAGGATAGAACATTATACTTTGCGGGCTTCTGGGTGAAGAGGTGGCTTTCAGGTCCGTCCTGGAGGATGTGTGGGTGCCAGACATTTCCCTAAAGCAAGCAAACATGACCCAACTTTTTACTGGTGACCCCAATTTTAAGATGACTGTCCAAGACTAGGGCTATAGGCCTTAGCCTCAGAACTAAGTGGCTCACCCAGGATTAAACTTGACCTCATTAGCACTTTATCCCATCTGGCTAAGTTAACTGGCCGTGGAGTGTAACCAGGAAGGGCTCTGAAACAATTTAGAGTGGGGGTGAGAATCTAATAATTGGAAGATCCTAGTGATTTGGAAGTCTAATATTCAGCTCTAAAGTCTTTAATTTATTTTATATATTTTTATTTTTTAAATTAAATAAAATTTTTTTATTTTTGGCTGTGTTGGGTCTTCGTTGCTGCACGTGGGCTTTCTCTAGTTGCGGCGAGTGGGGGCTACTCTTCGTTGTGGTGCACGGGCTTCTCATTGCGGTGGCTTCTCTTGTTGTGGAGCGTGGGCCCTAGGGCGCGCGGGCTTCAGTAGTTGCAGCAAATGGGCTCAGTAGTTGTGGCTCGCAGGCTCGGTAGTTGCTTAGTTGCTCTGCGTCATGTGGGATCTTCCCGGCTCAGGGGTCGAACCCACGTCCCCTGCGTTGGCAGGCGGATTCTTAATCACTGCGCCACCAGGGAAGTCTTCAGCTTTAAAATCTTGACGATGAAGATGAACTGTTCCAGCCATAACATAGAAGAGCGTTTGTATTAAAAGTCCCACCTTTCACACATTTTGTGTCCTTGTGAGAAGCTGAAGATTAGTCTGTGTGGTCGGTGGCTTTCATTCCTGGGGAAATCTCTCCCACCACAACTGCCAGTTTTGTGTGTGGGGTGTGTGTGTTTGGAACTCTTAGTTGTGGCATGCGGACTCTTAGTTGTGGCATGTATGTGGGATCCAGTTCCCCGACCAGGGATCAAACCCGGGCCCCCTGCGTTGGGAGCGCAGAGTCTGACCCGCTGGACCACCGGGAAGTCAGTGCTGTTTTCTTTTTTCCCAGCAATTTGTATCAGATGTTTTGTAAACATTACCATTTTATTTGAAGTAAAAGTCCCTAGGGTAAGTATAAAATTGGAGTTGTTTAGGAAGAGTAAAACCTCTACAGGTGAAGGAGCATTTTCGCTGTGAACTAGAGGAGGGTACGCGGTGTTCTGGTAGCCGGCTCAGAGGGGAGCACGTGCTGTTGCTTTGTCTTCTTGAAGGCGGTTGGGAGGAGAGCGGAAATGTACTTTCCGTTGTTGACGAGCTGGAAAGGTTGTGTAGTAGGTATTGATACTTCGAGGAGTTGAGGGAGTTCTAGTAGCAGCTTCTCTTGCTCCTAAGCTGTAGCCTTGAGACGGGTGCTGTGTTCGTCACAGTGAGGTGTGTGTCACAGTATGTTTCGTGGGGAAGAGGGTTTTGTGGGTGTTGTTTTTGCCTGAAGTTTGTACATCAGAACGTCCAGATCGGAGCTTGAATGGACTGCTTGACTTGGTGTTTATGTGCATGTGGGATGTGGAGTTGCTGGATAAAATATAAGACAGCAGGTAAATTTGAATTTCAAATGAACAATGAATAACTTTTTATTATTTGTTGACCTGAATTAAAAAAAAATTTTTTTTTTTGCTTTTGAAGATTTATGTACATAAAAAGGATCTACAGCACTTGAAATATTCAAAGAGGTTGATATTAGAATGATTTTCTAGTAGACATATCTGCTCTCTTTTTATGTTTACATTCAATGATTTTTCCATATGTGGATATATACCTGTTAAGATAGATACATATTCGGGATTTCCCTGGTGGTCCAGTGGTAAAGAATCTGCCTTACAATACAAGGGACGCAGGTTTGATCCCTGGTCGGGGAACTAAGATGCCACATGCAGCAGGGCAACTAAGCCCGGCACCATAACCACTGAGCTCGTGTGCCTCAACTAGAGAGCCTGAGTGCTGCAAACTACAGAGCCCACGTGCCCTGGAGCCTGCGCGCCACAACTAGAGAGAGAAAACCCACATGCCACAACTAGAGAGAAGCCTGCATGCCGCAGTGAAAGAGCCCACATGCCGCAACTAAGACCCGACCAAGGAAAAAAAAAAAAAAAGAGATTGGTGTATATTCAAGATGATTTTAATCCTAAATGCTTGACCTTCTAGAATGATGACTTTTAGTAAAGTTTTGAATTCATACTTTAATGATGTTTTTAAGTCGTCAGCTATGTTTTAGGTATTGCATGTTCATCTGTATTCAGTCCATACTATAAATTACAAACTCATTTTTGGATGGATATAATTGAATTTCAAATTTAACTTTTTTTTTTTTGAATCTGGCATTCTTGGGAGTGGAGGAGGGTAAGGTGGGAGGGGTGGGTGATGACTAAATATATTCCATCTGTATTACTTTCAGAATTCAGAATCTGAAATTGGTATGTGTTTAGAACTTCTATTGCTCCGCTCTAACCTTTAGTATGAATTGCCCTTTTAAAAATCGTAAAGCGGCAGCTTTCCGTAAGCGCGGTCCCGAAGATGGGAGGTGCGGTGAGTGCTGGTGAAGACAACGATGAGCTGATAGACCATCTGAAGGCGGCGCAGTACATCCGCTCCGAGCTGGTGGAGCAGGCCTTCCGAGCTGTTGACCGCGCCGACTATTACCTCGAGGAGTTTAAGGAGAACGCGTACAAGGACTTGGCGTGGAAGCACGGTAACATCCACCTCTCCGCTCCGTGCATCTACTCGGAGGTGATGGAGGCCCTGGACCTGCAGCCTGGCCTTTCCTTCCTGAACCTGGGCAGCGGCACCGGCTACCTCAGCTCCATGGTGGGGCTCATCCTCGGTGAGTCTGGCTCTGTCCCACGTAGGAGGGAGAGCCTGCCGGCAGCGTGTCCTTTTGTGGAGACCGAGTTGTAACTGCCCTCGGCCTTCCAGGCCGTCGTGGTGTGCACACAGCCCCTGGGTGGGGGGTGATTGTATTAATCGAGAAATCGCCATAAGGAACAGAAGCGTCCTTCTGAAGCTTTCCTGTCCCCCCAGCCTGCACCTCCAACATCTGATCGGCACACCCTCCTTTTGGACAACGGAGGACCTAGACATTGTATAAATCTGGACCGTATGGTCATTTCTCGATTAATACAGTCACTCAGCCTGCCCTGTCATGGTCTCTAAACAGGGAATAGTTAACTTTAAAGTCCCCTGGAAGTTAAAGTTCTTCCAAGCAGTTTTTGTTTTTGTTGTTTTAATACTAAAAAAGTTAATACTTGTAAGTTGTTTATTTTTAAATATATTCCAGGGATGGGAAGGATTTCACAAGTTATCTCATTTGAAGCCATTTAGCCTGTTTTCCCAGGTTTGCTAAATATCAAAGCTTTCGGCTTAAGTATCTTAACATCGTTACCGGGTCAGTGTAAGATTCCGAATATTGGCGATTTCAAGTAATAACGGCTTTAAAGTCATGTTTAAATCATTAGTGGTCCATCACAATATTGTTTCTTTGCGGTTGATACAGGCACTTAAGAAAATCTTAGCAGTAACAGTTGCTTTTTGTGGATATGGAATGAAACTTTTGGTTTCTTTATAAGTTCATATACTTTAGAATTTGCTGAAGTTTTGAGATTCTGATCATCTGACTTTAGGCTATAAATTGCTACCCTCAGATTATTAAATGTGAATTTTTTTTTTTTAAGCTAAATGCTTTTTGAACTTAACTTGGATTGAAACTGCTTTGCAAAGGGAGCCAGGGTTATTCATCATTCTGGAATTAGTGAATTGTAATTCCCTCTGTTGGAGCTGAAAAATTGGAGGAGCTAAGGATAAGGTGGTCAGGTTATCAAACTGGTTAGATTAGAAATGCTGTTGAAAAGAACTGAAATGCTCAGGAAAAGGTGACTTAAAGTAAACCTCAGCTGACCTGCTGCACTTGATGTTGTGTAGAAGTTACAAAGAAATGGCTTACAACTGATGTTGCTGTTTGTCTTTTCTGAGTCCCCTCTTTCTTGGGAATCTCACTAGTTATTAGGGGAGGAGAGTTCTGAAGGAAGGAAAGCTGTGTTTTCGGCTGCAGTGGACACTGCGTGGTGCTTTGATGTATTTGAAGGAGGTAACTTGAGAGTTTGCATTCACGGGTAGCCATCTTGGATCTGCAGGGAGAAAGCTGCGCGCACTGCACCGTTTTCACTGTCTGGATGCTGTGTGTCCTGGGCCTCCCTGTCTGGTTCATTCAGCCGTGACGGTGCTTCGTGCAGATCACTGCAGAGGTGAAAACCTTGCTGGCCTCCCAGTGCCTGCAGATGTGAGGCTTGAAGTGTTTCATTTGACTTAGGGGTTCTTATTCTCTGACCGCAGCCCTTCTGCCACATTCCTGTGCTCATTCTGTGGCTCCACCCCTTTGCTGAGGGCGCTCCCTTCTTGAGGTCCCAGTTGGTGGTGGGGAGGACGCAGCACTTGTCAGCTTAACCTGAAAGTGTCGTGTGATGTCGTGTGATGCTCTGCTTGGGGGGCCTTGTGGGACTAGTTTCAGTGTTGTGTCTTTGGTGCCACCATCTTGACCACCCCCTGTACTCCCTCTGCTTTTAGTTCTCTTTTTATTGGGGTGGGTCAGGGGATATGTGTTTTTAGTCTGGTGTGAAGCTTCTTGGGAATAGGAGGTGTGTCCTCAATAAGTGCCTAACAAAGGTGAGGGGCTGATGAGAACGTGATGAGAGGGGGAAAAAAGGCCAGTTTTCTTGGTCTCTGGCAAGTGACCAAGAGAGCAGCGGGGATGGAAACGGAATAATGTGGATGTGATATAAACACTGGAAATGTGACTTCTCAAGTAGGCTGTGGTTTTTCTTTTTATAACTATGTTTATTCTTTTTTTAATGATATTTTATTTATTTATTTAATTTATTTTTGGCAGCGTTGGGTTATTTATTTATTTATTTAATTTTTATTTATTCTTGCTGCGCACGGCTTTCTCTAGTTGCAGTGAGCGAGGGCTACCCTTTGTTGCGGTGTGCAGACTTCTCATTGCGGTGGCTTATCTTGTTGCAGAGTGTGGACTCTAGGTGAGTGGACTTCAGTAGGTGTGGCACGTGGGCTAAGTAGTTGTGGCTCGCGAGCTTTAGAGCACAGGCTCAGTAGTTGTGGCGCACGGGCTTAGTTGCTCTGCGGTATGTGGGATCTTCCTGGACCAGGGCTCGAACCCGTGTCCCCTGCATTGGCAGGCGGATTCTTACCGACTGAGCCACCAAGGATGCCCGTAGGCTGTGTTTTGATGAGAGAGTGTTACAGCAGCAGCTCTGTACGTGACAGGTGTTGAGAAAGGAGAGCGCGTGAGTCATCCAGCAGAGGCAGGGAGGCCTGGGCCTGGGGCCAGGCTGCTGCACCAGGAAGGGGCCAGATGAACCAAGTGGCAGAGTGCAAAGCTGTGGGCGCACAGAGGGTTGCATTTACCAGGATTTCTGTTGGACTGTAGGGTTGAATGCTGCACTGTGACTTTATATGTATGTCTTTTATTTATTTTTTTATAAGATGTTTTTGATGTGGACCATTTTTAAAGTCTTTATTGAACTTGTTACAGAATTGCTTCTGTTTTATGTTTTGGTTTCTTGGCCCCGAGGCGTGTGGGATCTTAGCTCCCCAACTAGGAATCGAACCCGCACCCCCTGCATTGGAAGGCAAAGTCTTAACCACTGGACCACCAGGGAAGTCCCTGTATGTCTTTTAAATAAAACCCTATGTGCCCTGTTCATTTTCACATGCAGATTTTTTTAAATTGAGGTATAACTTACCCGTAGCAAAGTAACAAGTGTGAAGCGTGGAACTTGGTGAGTTTTTACATCCACCTCCACGTAAGCATCACCCAGAACAAGATGCAGAGTAGAGTCTGTGCCCCAGAAGTCCTCATGGCCACCGCCCCATAGCAGGACCCCACCCCTCCAGAAGGGGGAAGATGCTCACCTCCGTCACACAGATGAGCGTTACCTGTTTTGACGTTCATACAAATGTTTTTATTTTAATTTAATTCAATTTAATTTATTTTTTAATTTCTTTTTTGCATTTTTAAAAAAATTTATTTTTGGCTGCATTGCGTCTTCGCCACTGCGCGAGGGCCCTCTCCAGCTGCGGCGAGCGGGGGCCGCTCCTCGTTGCGGTGCGCGGGCCTCTCACTGCGGTGGCCTGTCCTGCTGCGGAGCACGGGCTCCAGGCGCGCGGGCCCCAGCAGTTGCGGCAGGCGAGCTCAGCACCCGTGGCTCGCGGGCTCCAGAGCGCAGGCTCAGCAGCCGTGGCACACGGGCCCAGCTGCTCCGCGGCATGTGGGAATCCTCCCGGACCAGGGCTCGAAGCTGTGTACCCTGCACTGGCAGGCGGACTCCCAACCACTGTGCCACCAGGGAAGCCCTATTTTTATTTTTTATTTAAAAAAATTTTTTGGCTGTATTGGGTCTTCGTTGCTGCACGTGGCTTTCTCTAGTTGTGGTGAGCGGGGGCTACTCTTCATTGCGGTGCGTGGGCTTCTCATTGCGGTGGCTTCTCTTGTTGCAGAGTACGGGCTCTAGGCGCATGGGCTTCAGTAGTTGTGGCACGTGGGCTCAGTAGTTGTGGCTTGCGGGCTCTAGAGCGCAGGCTCAGCAGCTGTGGCACACGGGCTTAGTTGCTCTGCGACACATGGGATCTTCCCGGACCAGGGCTCGAACCTGTGTCCCCTGTGTTGGCAGGCGGATTCTTAACCACTGCGCCACCAGGGAAGTCCGACCTTCATACAAATGGATTCTTACAACACAGAGATTTAACGAAGCTGTTTGTGTCAATAGTTCTCACCGAGATTTAACCCAGAGGCGTTTGTATGTGGAGGAAGCGCTTTCATCAAGTGGGCTCCCAACTTTTCTCACAGCTTTATTTCCAGTTACTGATAAATTTCTTTTGATTAAAAAAGTTTCATTTTGATTTTGGAATTATAGTTTTATTTTAATGATGATTAAAACCTATTTTGTGAGAATTAAACACCACATCTGAGTGTTTGGGGAGACCTTTGATGGAAAACAGGCCTGTGTCCACTTTCATTTGCAAATACATGCTTCTTCTTTAATTCATTAGTGGCACTTTGAACTCTTGGTTACAGGCCTTGGCTTTTTTACATTTTCAAATGATTCCGTAGAAGTTTGAGGACAGGGAGATCCAGGCTTTAGGAAGCTGTGGGAAAGAGTATTGGTGATGTGGTGAGCAGAGGCCAGCCTGCATATTTAAATATTGGGCTGGGTGATTTAGGCCCAATAACGTGTATTTCTGTAATTATACATGCCAAATCAAATGTGTTGTAGTCTATGAAACAGAAATAAAGAATAGGGGTTCTTGCCCTAATTCTACATGTTTTCTTATCCTGAAACCTTTTAGGTCCTTTTGGTGTGAACCACGGGGTGGAACTCCATTCAGATGTGACAGAGTATGCGAAGCAGAAGCTGGACTTTTTCATCAGGACAAGTGACAGCTTCGACAAGTAAGATCAAATCTGTCTGTGGTTCTGGGTGTCAGTTATAACTTAAACTTTGGATTAAATGGAAAGAAATCAGTTTATTACTCTTCGTGTTCCGGGAAACATGATTAAACTGTGGCAGGAGAGTCAGGGATATGTGTGTATCTGTTCTAATTATTCTTAAAATATTTTGTGTTCTTAAGGGCCTTACGTTTTTTATTTATTTATTAATTTTTATTTTCTTTACAAATTTATTTATTTATGGCTGCGTTGGGTCTTCGTTGCTGTGCACAGGCTTTCTCTAGGTGCGGTGAGCAGGGGCTACTCTTCGTTGCGGTGTGCGGGCTTCTCACTGTGGTGGCTTCTCTTGTTGTGGAGCACGGGCTCTAGGCGCACGGCTTCAGAAGGTGTGGCATGTGGGCTCAGAAGTTGTGACATGCTGGCTCAGTAGTTGTGGCACATGGGCTTTAGGGCGCAGGCTCAGTAGTTGTGGTGCACGGGCTTAGTTGCTCCGCGGCATGTGAGATCTTCCCAGACCAGGGCTCGAACACGTGTCCCCTGCGTTGGCAGATGGATTCTTAACCACTGTGCCACCAGGGCAGTCCAAGTTTTTTAATTATGATACCTGAAGGTAATTTCTCACCAGTATAAGAGAACAAATAGAATGTTCATTTTTCCCAATTTTCGTGTTTCCAGTAGAGACAACATTTTATCACCTACTTGTTTGCAAAATGGAATTGTTGCATTTGTCTTTATTTTTTTATTTTAAATTTATTTATTTATTTTGGCTGTGCAGGCTTTCTAGTTGTGGCGTGCGGGCTTCTCTAGTTGTGGTGCATGGGCTTAGTTGCAGTATGTGGGACCTTAGTTCCCTGACCAGGGATCAAACCCGGGTCCCCTGCGTTGGGAGCACGGAATCTTAACCACTGGACCACCAGGGAAGTCCCACATTTGTCTTTAAATGGCACCATGTAGCTAGCTCTTGCATTTTAAAACAAAGCGTTAAAGTTCTTATTTTAGGGATTAAAATTTTTAGAAAAACCAAATATAATTTTCCCTCTTTTTACTCGGTTAGTAGATCTTGAATAAGATAATAAAATAAGATAATAAAAATAGCCAGTAGTGATGCTTGGAGCTTGGGTGATTTAAGCTTGGATTGCGCCTATGATATTGACTTTCACAATATTTGGTTTGGAATTTCTAGGGTTCTGCTTATTACTAGCGTAATTCTTCCTGAAGTCTGGGGTCCAGCTTCTGCCTCTGATCTTGCTATGTTGCTGTGGGATTGTGCAATGAAAACATACCCGTGTTTAGTGTAGATTTACTATGTAGGCTTGTTCTGATGTGATATATTTAGTTGTGGAAAACATTGTTTGCTTCAGGTTTGACTTCTGCGAGCCCTCCTTCGTCACTGGCAATTGCCTGGAGATCTCTCCAGGCTGCTCTCAGTATGACCGGGTGTACTGCGGGGCAGGCGTGCAGAAGCAGCACGAGGGGTACATGAAGAGCCTCCTCAAAGTCGGGGGCGTCCTGGTCATGCCGCTGGAAGAGAAGGTCAGGTCCCCACGTAACCCACGATTTTGCACACTTAGCTGCCTGCCAGCGTCGGTTCCGGGGGTCTGACGTGCACTTTCCTTCGTAACTCTTGTAACAATGCCCTCCATTTCACTGAGGATGAGACAGGCCGCAGAGGCAGCCAAGGCGGGGCAGGTCCTGACTCAGGCGGGCATCCCAGAGCCTGCACTGCAAGGCTGACCTGCCGCCCTCTCTCTCCTCCCTCCTCGTCTTTTCTGTCCTCTCCCCCTCCTCCCCCCGCCCCCCCTTAGCTATTCTTTTATGCTTTTTCTAGTATTGGAATTACAGTACACATAAAAAAATATTAGAGTAATTCTATTTTGGTAGCTAGTCTAATTGTTAAATTCCATGGTGGCGGGTACTGTACAGAATCCCTTGCTGAGTGGGAATCTTGTCCAGGTCTACTTGGCTATGCATGTTTCTGTATGTTTTAGATACTGTGTTTCATTGGGAAAACAGATTGCCATAAATGAGCAACCTATCCGTCCCAAACAACTAGGAAAAACAGAAATGACAAATGTTAGGAGATTGTGCGTTTTGGTGAAATTTTCTTCAGTTTTAAAATATTAGCATTCAATTCATTTTGTTTGAAAAGTAATTATTTATTTTAGAAAATCCAGAAGATGTGAACATTAAGAAAAGCTATTCACAGTCCCTAATGACTGTTAGCGTGTGATTCTTGTAGCCCTCTCCTCTTAGTTTGTATCCTTTCAAAAAGGTTATTGTACACTAAGGTGTTTTACTTAACAGAGTTTGTGAATATGATTTTAAGTTACTTAATATTCCACATCATCGTTTTTTAGTGCTTATGTGGTAGCCGGCTGAACCATTGACCAGTTAATTATCTGGCTCCTATAATCAGACATTAGGTTGTATGTCGTTTTTATTGTTATTTACTGTTACGTAAAGACGGTAGTGAACGTCCTTAATAAAAAAAAAAAAATATTCTTCAATATTTCAGTTTGTATCTGCAAAAGATAAGGGCTCTGTGTTTTAAAACTTCATAACAAAACCGTTATCAACCTAAAAAAGTTAATGGTAATTCCTTAATATCTTGAAACGTCCAGCTAGCGTTCAGGTTTTCCTGATTGTCTCAAAACCAGGCTGAACAGCTTACTTGAATGGGACCCCATTTAGGGCTGTGCCCTGCACTTGGTGGATTATCTCTTCGGTGTTGTTAATCTCCAAGTTTTCCTTCTTTCTTGCAATTTATTTGTTGAAGCAATCAGGCCATTTGCCTTCGAGAGGTTCCTGCTGCTGTTCAGTGGGGGCGAGATGATCTCTTTCCAGTTCCCACCCTCCAGAAACCACAGCCAGGGACTCCGTCTAGGCTGAAGCATCACAGCTGGTTGTGAGGGTCTCTAACGACTTGTACTTGAGAATCGCCCCATCTCCTTACGTTTCCCCCGCCACACGGACTTTTTCTGTAGAGTCCAAGAAGGTTGTCTCATCAGAATCCCCACATTCCTTCTCTGATTGTTTCCTCTTGTCACCCGTTAACTTCTTTCCCTGTTAGATATATTTTCTGTACTAGAAGCTTGAGTATATTTGCAAGAATATCATTAAGTTATGTGTAATTCTTGCCACATCGCATTATGGGCACATTGCAGGCCCGTATTGTCAGGGTTTTTCATTATTAGTGTCTGTGTTTTTTCAGGTTGTGTATAGGAATGATTATATTTAAATCGACACTACCAGTAGTCAGACCTTTTGAATCTTCTCGTTTTGTCTTTGGGATAGTTGACTAAGATAACTCGGACGGGTCCTTCCGCCTGGGAAACCAAAAAGATTCTGGCTGTGTCTTTTGCTCCACTCATCCAGCCCTGCCAGTCGGAGTCAGGAGAATCAAGACTTGTCCAGTTACGTGAGTATGAAGATTCTTGCTTACTGTTTAGATCTTTTCACTGTCGTTAGAATTTGAAGAGAAATAAAATTCATAAGAAACCTTTTAATGTTAAAGAACACTTTTCCACCCATTGAAGCCTTTAAAGTTTTACAAGTGATGTTTAAAAAGTCACTCAAAAAATTATAGTCTACGTTTAGCCTATTTCGGGTTATTTTAGGATGTTTGTGCTTGCTATTCAAGGATGAAAAGGAACCCCTAGAAAGAAAGAGAAGGGAAGAGAAGCGTGAGCAGAGGCACACTGGCCGTGAGCTGGACGTCGCTGGTGTGCGGGGCACGTATGCCGGGGACGTCCGGGTTAGGGTTAGGGTTAGGGTCAGGGTCAGGGTCAGGGTCAGGGTCAGGGTCAGGGTCAGGGTTAGGGTTAGGGTTAGCAGCGTTTGGCTGCCCTGTGTTATTTGAAGCCACGGGATGGATGTCAAACCAAGGACTAATAGGCGTAAGCGGAGAGGAGCTCGCCAGAGTGGGGGTCGTGGGAACGTGAGGTGGGCAGGTGGGTTAGACCCGAGTTTATCATGTAGGTGGTAGAGTCCGTCCCATGTTTTAAATAGAAGATGTGGGGACTTCCCTGGTGGCACAGTGGTTAAGAATCCACCTGCCAGTGCAGAGGACACAGGTTCGAGCCCTGGCCCGGGAAGATCCCACATGCCGCGGAGCAACTAAGCCCGTGCGCCACAACTACTGAGCCTGCGCTCTAGAGCCCTCGAGCCACAACTACGGAGCCCATGTGCCACAACTACTGAAGCCCACGCACCTAGAGCCCGTGCTCTGTAATAAGAGAAGCCACCGCGATGAGAATCCTGAGCACTGCAATGAAGAGTAGCCTCCGCTCGCCGCAACTAGAGAAAGCCCGCGCGCAGCAACGAAGACCCAACGCAGCCAAAAAATAAAAAACAACCCCCCCCCCGCTCAAAAAACTCTAAATAGAAGATGTGGCACCTCTGTATTCTGGATTCCCTGGTGGTCAGGGGAGGGTGAATTTGTCAAATGTGTGCTCCCTGAAAATCCCACCGGAATGGGTAGGCAGGCACTGCCCGTGGGTGGGGAGGGCACCGCCTTCCAGAGCCCCTGCAGAGTTTCAGAAGGTGAGGTCACAGGTGGGATCTATGACAAGTGTGTTGATCATGCCTGGGTAAGAATCATGAAGATGTGGAGGGTACCCCGAGATGTGGGTTTTGAGGCTTCAAAGCAAACGTGGCACAGTGAACAATGTCGATGCTATTTAGGGCTCCTGAAGGGAACTTGTGATCTTGTCTCCCGGACCAGAGGTTCTTAGACGAGTAGAGTCACGTTGATGAGGGCAGTGCACACGGAGGCCGTGAGGATGTGGTCGTGTGCTGCACAGGGGATGGGGTCAGCTCTCGGATGGACGGGTGAGTGACCAGACTGCAGGCTGAGCTGGTCAAGAGGCCGCTGGGATTTTCTGGGCAAGAGATAAAGACTGAAGCTAAGACATGGGGCTCTACAGTGGCAGGGGCTCAGGAGGCGTGTAGGGCCTGTCTGAGGGAGGAGGTGGGCCTGAGGTGGCTGGCATGTTATGGAGGCGGGTCTGCAGGAGGCCCTGACCCCAGCAGGACTGGGTTAGAACCTGGGGAGCCTTTGGCTGCCCTGTGTTATTTGAAGCCCACGGGATGGATGTCAAACCAAGGACTAATAGGATAAGCGGAGAGGAGCTCGCCGGGCTGGGTGGAAGAGGAGGAGGCCAGGGGATGAGGCGGCCCCCACCGATGGCACCTCAGGGTGAGCTGGAGAGGCCAGAGCTGGCCCTTGGGAGGTCTGAGAAGGGGGCGACAGCAAGTGGAGTGGCGGGGGAGGAGTGCTGCCGCCACCTCCTGCTCGGCCGAGTCGGGGTGTCAGGGCCGCGCGAGTGCAGTGTCCTGACAAAGGGGAGGAGGGTGCTGCGAGCCGGGGGCGCCTCCAGGGCATTGGGCGCTGAGCAGGTTCTGCTCGGGCCTCTGTGATTCTGGTAAGAGATGTGGGCAACAGAGGAGCCCTCCGGATAGTTTGGGTTGTTACTTTTTGGAGAAGTTAGGTTCAGGGGGGTAAGAAGTGGTGCTGACTTTCAGTGTCATGCATTTAAACACATGGCCCCTAGTGATTCTCTTCCCCTCAGAAGAGCCCTTATATTGCCATGTGTGTATTGCCTACACATTTGCCTAAATTGAGCTTTAATTACCAGATTTTATTTTTCCTTGATGTGCTTTGGGACTTTCGTTCTTAAAAATGTTTTGGAACTGCTTTTTCTCTACTTTAATAAAAAAGGAACAAATTCTTAAATTTCTGAAATACTGTGAAAATATAAAAACAGATAAAAGAATTGTAGAGCCATGTGGTCACTGTATTTTTACTGGATGAGACAATGCATCACTGAACACGGCAAATAGGGAAATGAAGCCGGTTGTCAAAGAACCAAACGCTGTAACCCTGGTTCTTATTCTTCCATTGATTGATTAGCCAAGCAGTACTGCTTCCTTTTCTTATCTGATTTAAAGGTCAGTGCATTTGAAAATATCTTTGGAAAAATACCATATGAATGCAAATTAGAGTATAATTAACATTTGCCTACAGCACTGTCCTATTCTTGTAATGTGTTTGTAAATACGCCAGTAAATGAAAATGTGGTTAGAATTTTCTCAGGTGTCTAGACCTTGTGGTGTCACGAGGGTGAGGCTGACGGTCTCGCTGTCTGCACAGCACCCCTGGCGGTTCGCAGCCTCCAGGACCTGGCGCGCATTGCCATCCGGGGCACCATTAAGAAGGTCATCCACCAGGAAGCTGTGAACAAAAACGGGAACAGACTGAAGAACACTCCCAGGTTTAAACGGAGGAGAGTTCACCGCCGCCGAATGGAAACGATTGTCTTTTTGGACAAAGAGGTGTTTGCCAGTCAGATCTCCAACCCCTCTGATGACACCAGCTGCAGAGACCTGGAAGACGAGCGGCAAGAAGAAGAGGTGACAACCCCGCCGGACACCAAGCCTGAGCCCCCGGTGAACTTCCTGCGTGAGAAGGTCCTGAGCCTCCCTCTGCCAGATCCCCTGAAGTACTACCTGCTTTATTACAGAGAAAAGTAAGTCTGTGGTCCAGGGGAGGAGGTCAAGCCTTCCTGGAGGGCTGCCCGCAGCAGGTGCACTGGAGAAGGAAGGGGCTCCCGCTCTGCATCTCGTCTTCTCGTCTGTCCTTGACTGTCCTGTAGAGTTTTCATCCAGTCATCTGATTTCTGTAAACACAGTCTGACAAACATAAGGTGCAAGGGGGGAATGTCTCAAAAGGGCGAGAGTCTCCTGGAGGAGGGGTTGACTTCACACTCTCAGGAAATGCTGAGGTCTACACGTGGAGGTGGCCTGGAGACCGTTTCTTACACAAGGTACTCGTGTCTGCATCAGAAAGGAAAACTGAAGTTGAAATTAACCTGTGTTTCTTATATTTATGTTTATGTTTCTATATATGTTAAACCTTTCCTAACATTTTGTATTTTGTATTTACATGTTGGTTTGTGACTTTTAAACCAGAATTTGGTTACAAGATATATATATATATAGATATTGAATATAATATATGTGAAATAATTTGGTATTGATCTAATAAACATAAAGGAGAATCATCAGTGAGTTTCCCTGTGTGTCAGCACCTTTCTCCAGAGTCAGTCTGAGACACTACTTTCTGTTTTCAAACAGATGAATTATATATATAGTCTGTGTTGTCTGCAAGCTCTATATTGTAAACCACATTCTAGACAGTGGCTGACTCTTATGTTTTGATTAGTCTGTATTTTTATATGTGACTTTCGTCTTGAAAGTAGTACAGCCATAGACATGTGCAAAACAAATAACAAATTTATAAATATTAAGTATATAATGTAGAAATCAGCTGTGTATTTAAAAATATTTTTGCCCATCTGGAGGGGATTAATGCAAGGAATATGAAACAAAGGTTTTAATGAACTGATATACAACAGATACCAGTAAAGGTACCAATAAAGGTACCAATAAAGGTAGTTACGACGCTTTAGCCTTCTTGGCATTGCTTCTGTTTCCTGTGTGGAATTAAAATTCTTGGCTACATTTTGTTTTCAAAAATGTTTTAAAATAAACTTTAAAAAATTAGAATCAGGGCTTCCCTGGTGGCGCAGTGGTTGAGAGTCCGCCTGCCGATGCAGGTGACACGGGTTCGCGCCCCGGTCCGGGAAGATCCCACATGCCGCGGAGCGGCTGGGCCCGTGAGCCATGGCCGCTGAGCCTGCGCGTCCGGAGCCTGTGCTCCGCAACGGGAGAGGCCACAACAGTGAGAGGCCCACGTACCAAAAAAAAAAAAAAAAAAAAAAAATTACAATCCTGTACTTTCTTTCACCGTTTGCATTATTGCTGAAGTCTGTACCATTCTAGCACACCTAGGGGAGGCGTGATATGTGATTAAACACAGGAAGTTGGAATAGACGGAGTGGCTACATGAGAGCATAGGCGTCTGGAGAGAGTCTGGTTTAGTTTTTTGGCACGATTTCCCCCTATCGTCAAAATGTTAAGTAAAAGATATTGAGTAATGGCATCATATCTTGTGGGGCAGCAGGGGGCGAGGATGAGGGTTCAGGGTTGGCGTTGGGGTCAGGCCAGGGCCAGGGTCAGGATTTAGTGTCAGGGTCAGAGGGTCGTGGTCCAGACTTAAAAGTATTGAGGTGCTATTGTAAATGAGCTTTTTTTTTCTTTTTCATTGAAAATTCCAGTTTTTCCTAAACACCGTTGCTGATTGTTTTAATCCATCTGGGCTGCTATAACAAAACACCAGTTGGGTATTTTAGTTGGCTTATAAACAATAAAAGTGTATTTCTCACAGTTCTGGAGCTGGAAGTCTGAGATCAGGGCACCAGCACGGTTGGGTGAGGGCCCGTTCTGGCGGCAGAGTATATGACAGACAGCCCGTGCTGCTTTTACTTCAACAGGCCGTTTTTCTGTAAGCACATTAAA